TCCAGTAACATGTTCTAGAACAGGGATCCTCAAATCTAGCTCGCAAGATCCACTTTCTGCAGAGTTTAGCTCCAACCCTGATCAAACTCACCTACCTGTGATTTTCTAGTGGTCCTGAAGACATTGATTAGCATGCTCAGGTTTGTTTGATTAGGGTTAGAGCTAAACTCTGCAGGAAAGTGGATCTCGCAAAGCCAGATTTGAGGATCCCTGGTCTAGAACCTTCACTACTGACAGGAGGCTTTTGCAAGACCTCACAAAAAAGGAATTGTATAAATAAATAAATACAATTAATTAATTAATTAATTAATTATAGAGCTGCATATATTTTTTTACCTATAATGAAATATATGAAATGCAACCAAGGATGTAACTGCAAAGGACTGTGTATATATACACTAATTAATATACATGAATATTATAAAATATATTCTTATAAAATGTACTTTTTGTTCTTGCACATATAAAATACATTGCTAAAAACTATTTATTTATTTATCCATCCATCCATCCAAAGTTACAAAGCCTGAACCATCAGAAATTCTTACAGCTGAGCTCTGTGAGTACTGAAATAATCCTCAACCTCCAAGATGTATTGTTTTTATGACCAGGCATGTTCATGCACATCCTCTCTGTGCTGGGTTCAAAACACGCATCACTAAAAAAACATAAAAAGTGTGCGAGTATAATGGCAATAATTAGGTCAATTTTCCATTCACTTCATGAGCCAATTATAACATGCTTTAGATTTTAAAATGACTGCAAAAATACACGAACAATGGAGTCACACTACAAAAATTATGTGTCAGAGGAGTCACTGCACTCCGCTCATGCAAATGCATTCTATAACTAATAAAACAGATATTGCAGTGAGCCTGAATGTATCGATTTGCGATGATGTTAACATAAATTGCATGGTCATTGGCATCATGCTCCACATACATTAAGAGAAGTTCAATTAGTTATGAAATCTCTAGATGTGCATGCAAACAGAGGAGAAAAAAACATCCAAGCTCCCACAAATAAACACTAGTGAATGTGCTCAAGCTGCGTACTATGAATACATGAATACTAAAGAATAACAAATTAGAGTTAAGACCACACAACACACCAGACGGAGTCGGTCTGAAACAGGAGTGAAATAGTCCATCATAAGTCAGGCTTTGACTGCACTGGAAACATTAACTGTGACAAACAGGGGACTCCAGTCCCCGCTGAGCCGATAATGGTGGCACTGAGATGTTAATAAGAGTAATCTGCGTGTGCCCTGCATTCACTCATCCCGCAGTCACAGATGGGCTTGCCTTTAATGTGTGCCCAGATGACAAGAGCATAATTTAAGCCAAAATACCCAGAAAGCCAAAGCATGCAGCCGAGACAGGACGCACTCCAGCATGTTAACTACCCACAAGCCTCTTCATCCATCCTCCCCAGACTGTGTACAATTTTTATGTCTTTTGCGCCATGTCTCATATATTATTTCCCCAAGCAACCTTGACTTGAGAAACTTCATAAAAAAAGGAGATGCTTTGAGACAGAAGAACATTCTGTATTGCTGTCACTGATTGAGAAACAAACAGAGTTCATGGACATCAGAGAGGCAAAATCAGAGCTTGTTGTGAACCATTTTAAACTCTACTGTAGGTTAATCACATGAGACTTGTCAAGAACATGTCAAGGTCATATTTCACCCCCAAAATAAATAAACAAATTAATAAATAAAAGACATGATCATTCAGAAATCATTCTGATATTCTAATTTGGTGCTCAAGAAACATTACTTATTATTATCAATAACAATGCTGAAAACTGCTTAATATATTTTAAAGGAAACCATGATACTTTTTTCAGAACTGTTTAATGATCAGAAAGTACGGTATAGAATTTATTTGAAAAATAAATATTTTGTAACTTTTGAATCGTAGTGTATACAAATATTTTATCACCATTGAGAATAAACATAATCACCGTCACATTACAGTAATGAGATGTTGTTGAAAAATACGCTTAATTACAGTATTATTTTCAATTTGATAGAGAAAAAACTACTGTATTACAGTAATGAAAATTCTAAAGCAAATTACCATCCAGACACATTATGCCCGATGTATTATATATATATATATATATATATATATATATATATATATATATATATATATATATATATATATATATATATATATAT